TGGTTCCTTAATATAAAAGCTGTACACAAGAGGCTCATTTTTATTCAAAGAATAAGAACAATAATAATAAATAAGAAAAAAACATATCTTGATTATTTTAGTTTTAACACACTGCTCCTGAGGGGTAGTAGCTCTGAGTAATGCAGTAGAGTAATAAATTACTGGTTCAGTCTCCAAAGACGAACCAGAGAAACATACAGACACAGGCCAGTGATGCTGGGACTTAACCACTCTAGTGGATCAAAGTTATTTGCCCCTGGAAGAGAAGCTGTGGCAAAAAAAAAATTCTTTACATTCAAAAGGATGCATTTATTTAAGAGGAAAGAAGGTTGGCCCATCAACTCTTCAGAAGCTCAGACATAGAATCTGTAAGACCATAATAGAGCATTTCCTGGGTGCAATACTACAGACTTAATGAGGTTTTGTCATCACAGAACGTGCCTGTAATTTCCTCACATCTCAAGACATTCTTCTACTACCTCTTCCTCCTTTATTAAGAGTAATGCTTGTGATATCACATGATCTACACCAGCATCCCAATTCTCTTCCAGACCTGCAAAAATTACCTCTGAAGCCAACTGGTGAATGTCAACTGAGTTTGAGAGGTCTCGAAGATGAAGTTCTTTCTAATATCTGCCAGTTTTCATAAAACAAGAAGACAGATTATGGTCTTACAGAGGAAAGGACTGTGATAACACAGCTTTCATCCAGTTTGCTGGGTTGTGGACAGCCGCCCCATCAGATGGGGCATGACATTTCTTGCCAGATGGGTGGAGTAAAGGGCATAAAGAGGAAAGCAGGATTTTCTGGATAATTCAGAACAGTACAGTAGTGAAGAAATAAGTCTCAGACCCAAACCTGTAACAAAGCTCTTAAGATTTGCTGCTCATGGAACAATTCACTGAAACAGTGAAATCTTCATTGCCTGCCCTCCTCCATCCCTACTAAGTTCATCTTGTGATACCACATAGGTGACAGAATCACAGAAGGGCTGAGGTTGGAAGACACCTCTGGTGTCAATGCCTAGTTCAAAGCAAGGTCAGATAGAGCAGGTTGCACATGGCCTTGTCTGGAGGCTGTCCTGAGGCCATTGGCACAATCTTTCCCAACTCTGCCTCCATATTCCTATCCCAAATACTCACTCTTATTCCCACCTTAGACTCGACCCCTAAGCCCTAGTTTACCCCTTTATATTCTTCAGCCTGCTCTTGTCACCCATCACAGTCATCAGCCCCCTTGCAGCCATCCAATTTTGCTGAACTCTTACTCTCTCCCTTACACAGATTATTTGTCCTGAAGACCTCCTAATCCTCCTCTTCACACCTCCTCTCCCACCAAAGTCCCCATCTACCAATTTTCATCCTCCCTTTCCTTTTGCAGTTCAGTCCTTCCACCTTCTAGCTAATCTCCACACAGCTTTCCTTCCTCTCCCAGCTGGGTTCTTTGAAGAAGGTTGAAGCTATTCCCCCGTCATCCCTAACTCTATCCACTTTGCAAGCAGTGAACATATAGTGGGATTGAACAATCAGATTCACTGAGGGCATAGGTGTGTACCAGTGCGAAGCTGCAATAGATAAGGAACTCCTGTGGAGATCTGCGCTACTGTACACTCCACATAGATACTCTACAGACTTTAATATTTTTGAAGAGTTCTAGCACAGAATGGTAAAAATACTATTTCCTGCAGGCTCAAAGGAACTACCTTTTTCAAGATACAATGAAAAGCACAGCTCCAGCCCACCCCTTTAGCCACATGGCAGTGTCAGGCCACTGTCCCAGATCATGAGAATACTAGAGCTTTTCAGAGGAGTCTCCAGACTCCAAGCTAGGCAAACAACATTCCGTCAGATCCACTCTCTGCAATGGCTGAATCGTGTTAGCTCAAGTCTTCCTTACAAAACAGGATTTATTGTAAGGTATGATATCAACTATCAAAAAAGATTCCAAGTTTAATTGTTCAGAATGAAGTTACAAGCACCACAAAAAAAAAGCCAGGCACCACCCATGTTTACAGAGAATTAGAAGTGAAAACACTGCTTATCACATTTTCACCTTTGATCCAGCACATTCTGCAAAAGTGCCAGACATCCAATAAGCTGTGTATGAAAAAGGATTACCCTCCAAGGCCAACAGAACTTCCTTCCTGTTTTGGAAGTCCTGTGCATTAAGTGTCCAGTTGCTTACAGCACAATTTCTAAACACCATCAGCTCCTAGTGTCACCTGTGACATCCTTCCTCAAATACCTGAGCAATGCAGAGAGTTCTCAGTAACACCCCTCACTATGCAAAACAGTACGAGTACTAACTACTGACATAAAACAGCAAAGTCCCATTTCCCAGGGGAGAAGTTGTTGACATGACGGGGAGTTACCGGGTTACTGATTGTCTTCTGTGGTCCATCCAAGGACATCATCTTCCCTCCTCCGGTTTAAGTTTGTCAGTTCTGTGTGATCACTGCTGAAGCGTATTTAAAGGACTCGCTGCTCAGACAGCACCAAAGGAGGGATCCCTTTGAAAAACCAAAACTTTTAATTAGAAAGAACAAAGCGACACTACATGAAGTGAAACCCTCCAAGGTATAACTTTAAACAGCACAAAGAAATGATGCAAACATCTTTCCTTTCCAATAAATTTGCTGGAGTTTTGAAATACGAAAATTAAAGGCTTGCTTAAAGAAATAAGGTGCCACCCTAACAAGGGACAGTGCACACAGGTACACGATGCCATCAGCAGCTTCCTGAGATTATGTATACTGAGACAGAATCCCACGTAAAAATCATCACTGTACAGGGGAACACTGATAACTCAGTGCCCCTCAGCTGGGCCCTAATAGCTCTCCATTTGCAGCCGACCCCTGCCTGCAGACAGGGAAAAGATACACAGTACAAAAGCAGTTTTTCCAAGACAACCAACCAACCCTTTCTGCTTCCTTTATTTCTGTGCTATCCCCAGATTTTCCAAGGCAGACAAGCCCTAGGGGCTGAACTTGCTTTTTCCAGTTTTATCTTACATAAAGTTAAGAGATATTAAGCAAAGACAGAGCAGGGAAGCAAAGGGTATTTTATATTTCTTCCCCCAACACATACAATCCCTGAACTCCACAAATAACTACAGGAGCTTGTAAAACTTGCATTAAATGCACAGCATTAATAAGAAATGAAACAACAGCTTGTGAGTATATCCAGCGACACTGTAATTTCTTTAGCAAATCTAATGAAGTGACCAAAGTTCAGGGCCCAACTGAAACTACTAAGTAATTATTTCTCACACATTCTGGATAAGTAACTTAAGGTAGCATGCAAACTGTGTGGTAATGACAGGGAAAAAGTCAAAGGTGAGGGTTCTAGCATAATTACTGTGTGACAACTGCTAGCAACATTAAAAGGAAAAAAAAGAACAAAAAAACCCACACACACCACCAAACCAAAAACCCGACGTCTGTGACCTGTTCCACAGGGCCCTGAAGTTAATCTTCTGAAATGATTCAACAACAAGAGTGGCCCATTGCAACATCTGGCTTATCTTGTGGCAGATTTGGGCCAGAAGAGTATGAATCTCCTACTTAAGACCAGTGTTTAGAATGCAATTCAGAGAACATAAGGTGCCTACGCTGCTTAACTGTTTTGCCTCTTTGATCTTCTCATGGGATACCACCATCAATTCACAACAGAACTGTGCAAAGGCAGGCAAATTTCATTATTTTCATTTTAAAAAGGAAGAAATCAAGACCAAAGCAAACAATTCTGACTTTAGCATTGGAAAGTCCAACAGCAGACCCCCAAAAATGAAACCCACACCTACGACCCAGTGTCCTGCTAACTGAACTTCCCTGGGTGTGCAACAGCAATCTAGATCATGCTGAAAGAGGATCCTGGAACAGAACTGACTGTCCATCTTGGCAGACCAGGTGGCACTACGGCAAAGTGATGGGTTGAGGGTTTTTTTGTTTATTAGGTTTTTTATTGAAAAGGTCACAATAATGAGGGAAAGCTGCAATTCAGGCTCTGACAAAACAGGAGATGGGCATGCAACTGCAAGGTTCTCCTGTAACCTTCTATCAGAGGAACCACTGTCAGTACATGTTACACCAAATCTTGTCTGCAAAACCGTACGTTAAGGTTTCCTGACTATACTTTTAGAACTGAAAAAGATACGTATGCTTTCCTGTTATCTTACACATTGCAAAGCAGCTGAAAACCTCTTCAATAAAAAAAAGACAGGAAAACAGGAAGGCCAACAACCACCTATTACGCTGTCCCTCTATGACATGCAGAAAATATCTTTCATGAGGGTAACTCGAGTTAGACTTTATGATCAAAGCTAGATTTTACACCGAGGCAAACAAGACTTCTGCAAAGAGAGCAAGCGAGGTACTTTCTGGATATTTGCAAGCAATTAAAGCACAAAACACCAGTGGCGCGCCCGGCTATAAACCCTACCACACGCTAGAATGAGACAGGACTAGTTTCACCAAGAAACCTCGGCCACTTCAGCCTTAACGCGCTCCGAGAAAGCCCCGGCTCCACAGAGCGCCTCCTTCAGCCGGGCCCGCCTCGGCCCCGCCA